AAAAAAAAAGAATGAAAATCCCTAGCAGTATCTTGTGAAATGATGGCAATCTCAGGGTCATCTCTGTCATATGTCTCTAAGCCAACTCCTTATGTCCACTCACAAGTGGGAAAACCACACATTCTAGTCTGCCTCTAGAAGCTGTTCTTAGCCCAAACTTGTATGTGCTGGGAATTTAGCCATGCAGTGCATCTTCCCAAGATTATGCGGGACTATCAGATAATATCAAAACCTGTACTTTAATATAACCACGCCAAATTCACTTATTGGAATAATAATCTGCTAAGGTTACTATGTATTGAGATGATAACTTTCAATTTTGTTTCAAAAGGCTATTTCATCCAGTCCTGAAAAATATTTTCATATCTTATGAAAAGTCTTCCCAGTTCCTATTCTTAAGGACCATACTTGGTTGCGGGGGTGTGGGAGTGCTGAAAACCACAGATTGAGTAGTCTATGTTGGAGGCCGTGGAAGATTCTGAAGCCAAAGGAAGCAAGGAAAGCTCTTAACTGTGCAGAAGCTCCAAAATACAAAATGGGGAATTCAAAAGGCTGTCACATCCAAGTAAGTCAAAGGCAGATAACAAAATCTGCCAGAGCCAGGAGTATGGTGTCAGAAAGAGGAAATCAAGCAGTGATGAGGCAGGACTAGATAGGATGTGGGCTGGGGAACTCATGGGTGATTTCCTAGAATGTCTGATCTGTTAGGGTTTGCAGCTTGCTTTTGTGGACAAGCCGGAGCACGGTTGTAGATGATTCAGCCCATTTAAAGGCAATTAGAGCATTTCTAAAGTGGGAAATGTTTCTCATTACCACTGTGTTGGCCCATACCCATCCCAGTGTATTCATTATTGGAGTTAAGATGGCACCAAGGGTTGTTGGTCACTTTTCACGCCATATGTAATGGTTTCTTATTCCAGGTTAGCAAATTTTGGCATGACTAATAAGGAGGTAGGATCATGCTGGGTTAGGCATAACAGAAGTCAGAAACAGACACAGAACAACTGGAAGTGAATGCCAGGGTAATAATGGCTTTTAGGACTCTTCGTATTTCCTTATTGCCCTGTTCTTTTTGTTAAAGGCAGATTTTGCTTATATATCTGGGGAGTGTCTATGGCATCTCCCACTCATTGGTCTCCTCTGATGTCTAGCACTGGTCAACATTTAAATTCCTCATTGGCATACTCAGGGCACCTTTCAGGTTTGCTTGAGTGTCCTGTGGTGTATTTCAAGTTAATGAGATGTTAGGGTAGGTGGGTATGATGGGAGGGAAATAATGGGGATAAGTTGCTATGAAACTCTGTCCTGGGTGAAAGGGTATAATGAATAGTCAAAGGCAAATTCTTCACAGACTAGATGGGTGAGCTGATAGTGCTCGTGCAAGGTCTCAGCAGCACAAGTCTTCTTTTAAGACCCAGGTGCTGCATTCCACCTGGTTACTAATCTTGAAATGATGGGTGGAGGACAAGCTAGACAATACAATTCAAAATTATTATGTTCTGGGGAACACTTTTTCTCTGGGAATTTAATATTAATAGAGTGGTAGTAAGCTGGTAAAAGAGGATGAGATGTTCCAATTTGATGTTGGAGTCTACCATGACCAAAAAGACATGGCCATGAGAGTGGGACAAGTCTATGGCACACTCTATGACAATGGTGTTCCAGGGCATTTGGGGATTAACAGTGATGTGGTAACTCATTGGTCTGTCTAGACCTGTATTTATTGTGCAGTCAGGTGGCTTAAGGGCTGGTGTATTGCAGGTTGTTAGGCTTGAAATCTCCAGAAAATTACCATGAGGAGGCTCTGAAGGCCCTCCTTAGAATTTTGAGGGCTGCCCTGGCTTACCAGTAGCATCAGGGTAGAGCTGGGGCTTTTCAATTTGGACTCCCCTGTTTGGAAGCCTCAGCAGGCCATTCTGCCAATGCTTTTGCATTCCACATCCGTGAAGGTCTGTCTGGATTGCTTTAAATCTGCGCCTCTTTGCTAGATTGCTCCTGGCCACTACAATGTTCTTTGGCAGAGGGTCTACTGGGACTGTGAGGGCTCCTCTAGAATTCTGACTTGTGTGTCAGTGCATTTGCTAAGTAATTGGGCATTAAGTAGAGGATGTGGAAGTCAAATCCTTTGAAAAATGGATCATTAATTATACTAGATTTTTCTGAGCTTGGAGAGGCATTATAGCACTATACCTGAGAGTCTGGGCTCTGCTGTCAGACATACTGTATTTGATTCGGGCTCTATCACAAAATAGCTGTTTAACCTTGGGCGTGTTACTTATCTTGAGTATGAATTGGAATAAAAGTAGAACCCACCTCACAGAATTGTGATTAAACGAGATAATGTGTGTGAAATGCTTAGCACAATGCTTGCACAAGGTAAATGCTCAATAAATAATGACTATTACTATTATTCTATTTTTACCCCAGTAATCATAAATGACAGCAATCAGGCTATATCCAAATAG